TTTTTGCGTCATCGTGTACATATGGGACATCTTATTCTACTCGGAAACCTACCACGGGCACGCACAGCATATCGAGTGGACGCTGGGAGCTCTGAGAGATGCTGGGTTCAAGATCGCACTCGAGAAGAGCGAGTTTTTCCTATCGGAGGTCTCATTCTTGGGCTACGTGGTGACGCGGGGAGGATTACAGCCAGATTCGAGAAAGGTCGCGACGATGAAGGATGCCCCCGTTCCCACATCACTAACGCAGGTTCGAGCCTTTTTTAGTTTGGCATCATACTATCGTCGTTTCACCAAGGGCTTTGTCGCGATAGCAAGGCCCCTGACGAACTTGTTGCGGAAGGACCAGCCTCTTAGTTGGGACGCCGAGTGCGAGCAGGCCTTCGCTACCCTCAAGGACGCCTTGGCTACGGCGCCCATTTTGATTCGACCGGACCCTACAAAGCAGTTCATTCTCATCACAGACTGGCAGTCGGAGGTAATTTCCACTATCCTAGCGCAGAAGGGGAACGACGACAGTGAACACATCATCCAGTACGCATCTCGAACGGTGTCAAACGGACGAAAGAATGATTTGGCCGCGCAGGGCGAATGCTATGCGGTGGTCAGGGGAATCCAGCACTTCCATCCGTATTTTTATGGACAAAAGTTTCTTCTGGTGATGGATCACGAGCTGCTGCTGGCTCGGAAGAGGCTCACTAACTACACGGGCATGATTGGGCGTTGGGCGGTGCGCCTACAAGAGTATGATTTCGACATCGTCCATCGGAAGACGGAGAGGCACGGGAACGCTGACGGACTGACACGTCTACGTCGACCAGCTAAGGTACCTAAAGGCGAGGAAATCATCCCGTGGAAGGAACCGGAATCGACGAACGGACTCAAGTACGGACAAGTGGCAGTTCTTCCACGTGGAAAGAAGCAGACAAGTGGCAATGGGGGACGGAGGTAATCCTGCAACACCTCTCTCTCCCCTCTCACCTTCATCTCTTCTCTCTTTCCCCGACAATTTTTGCTATTTTTGCGAGGCGATTTCACGCGTTTACTCTGTCCCTATGCATCCTAGTGGGGAGGGTTATGTCGAATGGGTAGATTGTCGGCAGTGCGTCGCAAGAGCCCATGGTTCTTGCATTCAGTACTGAACTGGCAACAAACCTTGGTTGTGCCCCTTGTGTCGAGTCGATAAGATCCCAACCGAGGTGCGATTTCTCAACGCCACATCAGAAGGGTTAGAAAAGACTCGAAAATTTAGAAGGGTCGAGGTATGGACGAATATTGCTATAATCGCCACCTTGGTAGGTAACCCCCTCTAGGACTTCAGTAAGGAGGACCGGAGGAGGGCCAATGAAAGGGCTCGGGACTATCGCTGGAACGAGGGTCGGTTAGAAAAACGGAAGACGGATGGTTGTGAGGATGGGATGGGAGGTGGTCTCATATTCCAAGACACCCACGACCTACTGCTCCAGGTGATCACTGTGTACTCAGTGACTGGCCTCTACAACACCATGGACTTAAAAAAAAAAAAAAAAAAAAAAGAT